CTTTGTAGAATGAGTTTTCATCATAATGCCATTATTTTATAAATTTTCAGTTGGGCTTTGAAAAATTTCAGAGTGCAAAAATACTATCATGTTGTTCATTTAATGAATTAGCACTTCAGCATTAAATGCACTTAAATCAGTTTGAGATTCATTGTTGATGAAGAACAAGAACCTTAAATGTCACCAGCATCCTTCTAAATCCCATTTTACTGCAAGAAAGTTGACTCTTCCATTATGAATATTTGCCTCATTGTCCCATTTTTCAGTGATAACACTTTTTTATGCCAATTTGCCCATGCAAAATGGCAATTAACCTAAGTATTAGCTCCTTCAGCCTTGTAGCCTAAATGTGGGATTTCTGTGGTGGAGCCTTTACACACACATGGAGGGAACGGGAATAAATTGCACAAGCCCAGAGAAAATCCCCGAAGTGATTTTTTTTTTTTTTCAGTTTTGGCCAGGGCCAGGCTTGAACCCACCATCCCTGGTATATGGGGCCAGCGCCCTACTCCTTGAGCTACAGGGGCTGCCCCCAAAGTGATTTTTTAAAATCAATGTATCTGCGAAAGAAGACAGAGAAACCTAAGCTTTAAAAAATGGGAAACCCAGCCTCGGCCAAACTGCAACCAAAAAATAGCTGGGCATTGTGGCAGGCGCCTGTAGTCCCAGCTACTCAGGAAGCTGAGGCAAGAGAATCGCCTAAGCCCAGGAGCTGGAGGTTGCTGTGAGCTGTGTGACACCACAGTACTCTATCGAGGGCAATAAAGTGAGACTCTGTCTCAAAAAGATAAAATGGGAAACGAAGGCCAGGCAATGGTGGCTCACACCTGTAATCCTAGCACTCTGAGAGGCTGAGGCAGGTGATCTCTTGAGCTCATGAGTTTGAGACCAGCCTGAGCAAGAGTGAGACCCCCTCTCTACTAAAAATAAAAAAAAACTGAGGCAAAAGGATTGCTTAAGCCCAAGAGTTTGAGGTTGCTGTGAGCTATGACACCAGGCACTCCACCAAGTCCAACAAAGTAAGACTCTGTCTCAAAAAGAAAAAAGGAAACAAAATAGGGGTGCATTACTTGGAGTCTTGGGGGAATGAGATGGCAGAACCATGACTAGCTAGTTTCTCCATTGGCGAGAAGTGTGCATACATTCAAAATGATACTGCCTTTAAATTGCCTTTAAAGACTATATTTTGGAATTCTTTTTAAACTTTCTACAGTGAGTATGCATTTGTGGTCAGAAATAAAACAATTATTCTTGAGATATTGATGTTGTGTGTCAGAACTATCCAACTTCCCCACTCTCCAGATCCTCTGCATGATTGAAACTCTCTTTTCCTTCTGTGTCTGGCTGTGTCAATGTGCCAGTCAGAGGTAGGCAGTGCCAGCACAGAGGTGGTACCAGAAACCTGCTAATTAGGGTAACTCATAGAACCCAAGAGCCTTCCATAGCAGAACTTTAGTTTTTAACCTTTATCCTTATAGAATTGTGTGTGCTTAAAAGAGTAAAAATAATGCTAAATTGATTTACTTTCTCTGTTTTGTCTAGCCAGGCTCTGTTTTCTGTGTTATAGTATACTATGTAGTCCTGAACTCAGAATTCTGATAGTTTTGGTAAGCTAAAGATTGTTTTAGCCACTCTTCACTCTCTTTTAATTATTTCCTGGTAATAGTATTAGAAACAAAAGAAACGTGCTATATTTTTATGTGACCATTAAAAAACATATTTTCCAATAATACATAATGTTGTGACTAGTGCTCACAATATAATGTCAAATAGATAAACAGGGTATCTGTTTAGCAAAATGTGGGGCATAAAACTGTTAAAATTGATTTATGGAAGTTTATAAAAAGACTTGGTAGAAAATCACCAAAATGTTGCACATGATTATTTCTTGATAGAAACCCTATCAAGGGTGTGCAATTTTATGATTTTCTCATACTGTTCTTCTTTCCCAGATTTTTCACAGTAAAATATATATTGTTTTCGTAATAAAAAAAAGAAAACTTTATTCATTTTTTAAAACTCTTAAAAAGAACTAAAGGAAAGCAGCTGGTGCAGTCCTCTCTCTGAGGGGCAATCAGTGTTACTGATTTAGTCAGTGTTACTGAGCAAATGCAATACCAGGCCTTAGCTACTTGGAGATTATTGAGCTCCTTATTCTTTTGCTGGGTCAGAGGTGTCCTGTTGATGAAAATCGCCAGCCTGGTGACAAGCAACAGGTGCAGACGTCTGCTGTGTGAGCCCTGGGAGCACGTTGAGAATTGCCAGCATCTGGCAGTGCTCTGCAGCTCTCACAGCTGCTCTGTGTCAAGTGCATGCTATGTGAATACTTCCATGTTCTGTGACCTGAGATCTGGCCCAGCTCTCTGCCTAAACGCCCCAGGGTTTGACTCACTACCAAATGCCTGGCCAGAGTGTGGTCGCAAGAACCGTCAAGTGAAACCCTGGTATAGGAGTCATCAGTCAATCTGTGAGCTTCCAGAGCAAGTCAGAGGAATAGTTACTCATCCAGGGTAAAGGGAATAGAAAAGACGAGGTTTAGAGCAGGTCTGTTACTTAAGAAAAACATAGAACCAGTGTTACAACTAAGAATTTTAGAGAGTCCTTGGCTGTGAGTCAGGCATTTGGTGTTATATAAGGATTTATCAGTCACTGTTTGGAAAGAATATTGGATAGCCTCTGTGAAAATGAGCGAGAGAGCTTAAGCCAGGATGAGGCAGATTTAGTAATGAGTTCTCTCATCACATCTCTTGGCCAAGAAAAACATGCACCTTCTCCAGAGACAGAATTTTTCTTCCATTCCAAGAGGTGGAGGAACACTTGAAGTATATGTAGTCCAAGCTTTCAGAGGAGCAATTTTCACTAGCACTTTTTCCTAACCTATTCATAACTAAGTGAAAAGAGAAATTGTGAGGTAACTTGGGTCTTTCTGTATCAGGAATATCATCATCTCTGCAAAAACAAGGTAGTCTTGTGCTCAATCCCCTGCCTACATACTGAACTCGGGGTTTGGTGTGGACATACTAAGCCAGCATTCCCTCCCCAGCTCCCAGAATGGTGGTTGTGTGTGACAGGAAATGTGGAAGTGTTCCTTTTTTGTAATCTTGAAGATTTCAGTAGTGGTTAGAAGAGCTTTGGTCTTTGGTCAGTTTTCTTTGATTTGGGAGGTATACGGAGTTTGAACTTATACTTTCAAATTGACCTTGACTCTCCTCATTTTTTTCACCTCAGATCATCCAGTCCCTCTTAGAACTTGACCAAAATAGAAGCAAACTAAAGTTGTATATTGGACACCTGACAGCCCTCTGCCATGACCGAGACCCCCGGATCCTTCGTGGACTCACCCCACCAGCTTCCTATAACTTGGACGATGACCAGGCAGCTTGGAACAACAAGCTGCAGAAGATGACTCAGGAGCAGGTGAGCCTCGGGGTGGTGCTTTGACAAGAGCCTGTTAAAAGCCAACTGCTGTTTAGTTTCATGCATTTGGACCTACCTTGCAGAATTCAGTGTTTGGAGCCAAGAATTTTTGGTGGGAGTATTCTAGATTTTTTTTAATCTTTAAATTTATTTTTTAAATTGAGAAATTTAAAAGTATATGTTTATCATGTACAACATGTTTCATAATATTTGTACATTATGAAATGGCTAAATTGAGCTAATTAACCTATGTGTTACCTCACATACTTTTTTATGATAGGAACACAAAATCTACACTCTTAGCAATTTTCAAGAATAAACTGTTATTTAGTCATCATTTTGTACAATGTATCTCTTGAACTTCTCTGCTCTGACTGAAACTTTGTGCTCTTTGACCAACATCTGTCCCACCCCTCCCCCCTGGTAACTACCATTCTGCTTTTAGATTCAAGATCATTGGTGATGAATAGTCTTTAGCAGGTATTGGGATTGCCTTTTGAAGGCAGTGCCACTTGATTCTTGCCTCAATATAACTTACTCAAGTATCAGAATGGGCTGACCTATAAGGCAGAGTGTTAAGCATAGTCTGTGCATATGCCATAGGTAGTTACATAGGTAGACTCTGAAGGAGAGTCTGAGGTAAGGATGTTTGCATAAGGAATTTTTTTACAAGATGGTCTCTGTCGCCCAGGCTGGAGTGCAGTGGTGTGATCACAGCTCACTGAACCCTGGTCTCAAGCGATCCTCCTGTCTGAGGCTCCTGAGTAGATGAAGACCAAAGTGTGTGCCACCACACCACCTAATTTTTTTCATTTTTTTTAGAGATGAGGTATCACTGCGTTGCCTGGGCTAGTCTTGAACTCCTGGTCTCAAGTGGTCTTTCCACCTGAGCCCCCCAAAGTGCAAGGATTACAGACCTGAGCCACTGTGCCTGGCAGGAAATCGATTTTTGAGAAATCAGTAACATATCTTCAATTGTATCTTCAGTTGTTTGTTTCTAGGGAATTGTAGGTTACAATATAGTCTCAAGTTTTTAGGTAAAAGAATGATGAATTAGTTTTAGGTTAACCCTAAATTAGATGAATTAGTTTAGGTTAACCCCATGCCTCTGTCCATCCAAGCTATTATAACAGAATGCCACAGACTGTGCAGCTTATTGAAAAGAGACACCTGTTTCTCACAGTTCTAGAGGCTAGACGTCCCAGATGAGGGTACGAGCATGGCTGGTTTCTGGTGAAGCCTCTTCCCTGCAGACTGCTAACCTCATAACCTAATCACTTCCCAAAGCCCCCCCCCCCTCCTAATACTATCACATTGGGGGTTTGGAATGCAATTTAGGAATTGGTGCGTGGCACAGACATTCAGTCAGAAGCCTCCCCTATGCTACATTTTATGTTTACTCTTGCCTGCAAAAATCCAAAGTTTCTCTCTCTCTTTTTTTTTTTTTTACATGTTGTGAATAATGACATGATAAGCCTGCTTGGAGACAAAAATTGTGAATTAAAAAAAGAGCAAATAGGAAGAGGATAGAAGAGATAGATAGCAAGCAGACATAGAAAGTGAAATAAAGAAAAATTACATGGACACCAAGAAATAGAGAAATAGAAAAAGAACGGTTTTTAAATTATTAATTCAAAGCTCCTTTTGCCCCTAGTTTAGAGACACAGGTGGATGATGTTCCTTATGCCTTATAAGCTATAATCATAGCAACCAAAAGACTAAAGAAATGCATAGGTGTTTTAAATTTATTAAAATTCTTAATCAGAATTTTATAGCTATGCACTATTTCCAGACACATACCTGCTATTTGTTAAACTTAGTTTACTCATAGTATGTGAATGAAAATTATATCAAATACAAAACTTCTGTGGTGTGAGGTTAGAGATGGCAGTGACAACTCCCAAGTGAAGAAATGCAAACAGGAGAGCCTTAGAGCTGCACTCCCTCCCTCAAGTCCGGGGCATTGCCTAATAGCCCATGAACATGCTTAATAGCTAGTAGTCCATGATACATCTCTTACATCATGGGAAGAGAGTAAGGCTCACTTCTCAAATTTAGCTTGTTGCCATAGGAATTTTAATTTCTTTCTTTCTTGAAAGAGAAAAAAAATTAAAGGGAAGTATTATATTAAATTTTTAATAGCTCTTTTTTTTTTCTTTTTGAGACAGTCTCTCTTGCTCCCGGTAGAGTGCTATGGTGTCACAGCTCACAGCAACCTCAAACTCTTGGGCTCAAGTAATCCTCTCGCCTCAGCCTCCCAAGTAGCTGGGACTACAGGCACTTGACACAACACCTAGCTATTTTTTTGATATGGAGTCTCACTCTTGCTCAGGCTGATCTCAAACTGTTGAGCTCAGCCTCCCAGAGTGCTGTGATTATTATAGGCATGAGCCATTGTGCTAGCCCTGATAGCTCTTTTTTATATTAATAACCAGTAGTAAAAATGAAACTGAAAGCCCACTGGAAACAGGGTAACTGGCTAGTTTATTTTAAAGACTTCTGTTTGAAAAATTTGGCAGAAAAACAGCCCTTCTTAAAGTTCTAACATGGTAAAATCAAAGTTTATTTATTTATTTATTTATTGAAGACAGAGTCTTACTCTCTTACCACAGGTAGAATGCCATGGTGTCAGCCTTACTCATAGCAACCTCAAACTGAGCAGTCCTCCTACCTCACCCTCTCAAGTAGCTGGGACTACAGGCACCTGCCATGATGTCTGGCTAATATTCTCTTTTAAGTAGAGTCAGGGTCTCACTTTTGTTCAGGCTTGTCTTGAACTCCTGTGCTCAGATAGTCTACCACCTCAGCCTCCCAAAGTGCTAAAATTATGGACATACACCACCTTGCCCAGCCAACATAAGTATCAGAGTTTAACTGGCATTAAGGTATATCTTTGTAAAACAGTTTGTCTTTGAAAAGGAAAAAGTGTTTTCATTCAGTCCTGTACTTCAGATATGCCTAGATAGACTTAACTCAATCTTTCCAACGGAAAAAAATATCTTCAGAGTGAGAACAAGATAGAAAATGTCAAACTAAGAGTTTTTCAGAAAGTTTTGAGTGAATGAAACCTGAAATTCATTAATAGACTTAACCATTGTACATTACTACAGTCATCAAAAGATTTTTGCTCACACACATTTATCTTGTGAATATTGCCATGTTTCCTCTTGATTGATAATGGACTTCAGTTCCTAAAGATACTGTTTGATGTGTTTGAAATTGGATCTTCTGCAATATTCTTTGGGAAACAGGAGACTTTAGCCATCTGTAAAGGAAGATAACTAATATCACCTTCTATAAGCTTCTCCATAGCTACTAACGATTGATGGAAAAACCAACCAATTGTCTGCCTCTTCACCACAAGTGAAAAATTAAGGGAATAATGCAGGCTATCTAACAATACAAAATGGTTTGCCTGTGAAGGTGTTGGGATCAAGATTTGACTAATACGTGTATTGGTTTATTTTGCGTGTACTTGTCGTTTATGGTTTTGTTTCTATGATGTTGAGCCTTCTGCTGTTTACTTTCATTTTATTCACCTCTGTAACTACAGTGCATTTTGCTGCCACCATGTTCCCCCCAGGACTACCCTCATGAGGACAGGATAAGAGCTTTGTCCTCTTCAGTGCTGTATCCTCTACACCAAGAACAAGGACTAGCATTTCCTAGCTGCTCAATAAATATTTGTTGACTATATGAGAGATGAGGGGGAGATGACGGCAGACAAGATCAGGTCTTAACTCCTTTCATATCATACAGAGCTTTCTTTCATTTAGTCTGACTTCTAAACGTGCACTTGTTACCTGCGTGTCCTTCAAACGTATACCAGACTACTTAGCATTTTTCATGAATCATTTTGCTTCTCTTGTCCCTTTTGCCAGATATGCCCTTCCCTACCTTGTCTCCGTGGGGAATACTCTACAAACTCAGCTTAGATATCATTTCTTCTAAATATTCCTTCCTGAAACCCCAGGCAGAAGGTGGCCCTTTCTCCTCAGAGCCTTTGTAGTCCCTATAACAATTTATTTCATATGTGCCTCCCCAGTCTGGCCTATCTGCCTGTCAGAGGCAGGAACCATATCATTTTCATCTTACAATTAGCACCACGTGAGGGTTGCATGGTATGTGCTCATTAACTTAAATAAGTGAATTAATTCTAGTGAGTTCTACATAGTTTGTTATTTTGTGTTGCATACTGTGATTCTTATTTCTCCAACTAGATTTTAAGTTTCTTCACTGCCAGAACCATGTCTTATATTTTTGAAGAACCTAGCACAATACAGTGCATGTGGAGAATGCTTAGTGTATACATAGTTGATTATTTCTTTGACAACTCAAACAAGTGTCCTCAGTGCCCCTTAATAGCTATGGGCAGTCTGACTGTTGATGTTAGAAACCAGGCATACTTCACCTTGAGTCTTGACTGCATAACCTGCCACTACCTGGAATACAGACATCTATAAATAAAGCCTTACATCTAAAGATTTCCCAGAATTACTTTTTCTTTGCCCTCTTAGAGGTTGGCTTCAATACCAACTAAACATGGCAATTTGTTTATTTTCCATATCTTACCAGTTTTTGCTCTGTGTCTCTTGAAGCTCTGTTATCATTAAGGATTGTTATGTCTTCTTCATGAATTGACTGTTACCATTATGTAATATCCCTATTCAAAACTCAGAAGTCCACTTTGTCTAGTATTAAGGTAAGTGTTCCAGCTTTCTTTAGATTAGTGTATGGTAGTCAGGCACAGTGGCTCATGCCTTTAATCCTAGTATTCTGGGAGGCTGAAGCAGGTAGATCCCTTGAGCTCAGGAGCTCAAAACCTGAGCAAGAATAAAACCTTGTTTCTATAAGAAAAACTAGCCAGGTGTCATGGCTGGTGGCTATAGTCTCAGCTACTCAGGAGGCTGAGACAAGAAGATCACTTGAACCCAAGAGTTTAAGGTTGCTGTGAGCTGTGATTCCACAACATTCAACCCCAGGGCAACTGAGTGAGACTC